ATAGAAGACCTCTAAAAGCGGTAATAGTCAACAATTGCTTCTGAGAGACCGCAATAAGGCAATGCATTTGTAGGAGACTCCCTGATGATCTTTAATCTTTCAAAGACCTCTGAAAAGTCTTTTATTTATAGAAGACATCTGAGAGGTATTATAACCTAGAGAAGCCATTCATATATAGCCTATATTTTTCGAAGACTTCTCAAAGGTCAATCAAGTATAAAAGGTCTTCCCAAGGTCTTACCTTCTCAAATTCCTCCCTCTCTGTACAAGTTTTATAGGGACTAGTTTTCCCGCAGAAAATTTTCCACCCATGCCCTGGACAATCTACCTCTACATATTTTAATGGTTCTCCTTATCATTGGGTCACAAGGACCTTGAAAGGTCTTTTATGTATAAAAGACCTCTAAAAGCGGTTCTATCCAAAAAATAGACCTCAAGATGGCAATGCATTTGTAAAAGACGCCCAGATGGGCTTTTATCTTTCGAAGACCTCTAAAAAGTCTTTCATTTATAGAAGACATCTGAGAGGCATTATAGACAAAAAAAAAAAAAAACCGAAATACTTCAAATGGGTACCCCACTTAGAGAAGACATTTAATAGATCTTATATTTTTCAGAGACTTTTAAACGGTCAATCAAATATAAAAGGACCAAGGTCTTACCTTCTCAAATTCCTCCCTCTCTGTAGAAGATGTATAGCGACTAGATTCCCTACAGAAAGCCTTTTCCACCCAGGCTCTGGACGATTGACCTCTATAAGGCCTATCATATATAAAAGGCCTCCACTAAATTTCACCTTTTCAAATTCCGCTCTCTCTCTCTCTCTCTCTTTTCTCTCTCTTCTTTCTTTCTCTGTAGAACACTTATAGGGGCTAACTTGTCTACAGGGTGAGAAGAAAAAACTGCAAACAACTTTCGACTGCTGTCATTTCTAAGCCACTCGTCGGATAGGTGTAAAAATTATTCCAGTGGCAGCTCATTATATTGATTACAAGCGTACAAAAGCATTTTGGTGAGAATTTTCCAGAAAAAAAGTTATTCGTGATGGAATTCAAGCGTGATAGTGTGTTGTCTTTATATTTGGCTGGAGAACCACAAGTGGCTATCGTAGAGCACTCCAGCATTTAAATGTGAATAAATCTTTTATGACTCGTAGCATCGCTCGTTACCGTGATACTGGTAGCGTAGCCCGACGTCAAGTGGAGTGGAAGTGGACAGAAGAAAACAGCAACATCAGCAGAAATGGTTCGAAAAGTAAAGAAGCGACTTGATCGAAACCCGCGTAGCAGTGGCTGAAAAATGGCTCGTGAGCTGAACATATCGTAATATTCCATTCGGCAAATTGATTGGCAATTGAAAAATGAGCTCGGGGTAAAGCCATTGAAATTCCAAAAGGTGCAAGAACTTACACCGCAACAGAAAGAAAATAGACTCAAAAGATCTAAAGAGTTGCTTCGTTTGGCCTAAAGTGGTGAACTGCCGAATTTGGTGTTCTGCGATGAGAAAACATTTGTTGTCCAGCAGTTTGTAAACAAATCGTGTTTATTTGCCAAAGAGCTCCGCTGAAAATGTGCACCTTCGGCCGTCAGGTCATGAGAACTCAAGCGCCGTCCATGGTGATGGTGTGATGTGGGCCGCCATAACATCAGAATAAATGCCGAATATTATCGCGAAAATATTCTGGAGGGTGTATTAAAGCCTTGGGCACGCTAACATTTTGGCCGCAGACCTTGGACATACCAACAGGACTCAGCACCATCGCACTCAGCACGCGCACCCTCCCCCCAGGAATGGTTACAAAATGACGATCCTCGCTTAATTTCCAGCGCACAATGACCTCCAAAATCTCTGGATACCAATCCGTTGGACTATTCTGTCTGGAGAATTTTGGAAAGCAAGGTTGGCACTAAAAAATACCAAAGTGTCGATCACCTCAAGCAAGTGCTTCGCCGGGAATGGGCCAAAATACCGCAGAGCAACATTCGGGCAGAGTGTGACGGTTTCATTGACCAGTTCGAACAAATCTAAACATATTCTAAAATTTGATGCTATTTTCGGAACTTTTTACTTTTATTCAATAAAATTTGAAAAAAATGTAAAAATTTTGCAGTTTTTTTCATCTCACCCTGTATATAAAAGTTCTCCACAAGATATCACCCCTTCAAATTCCACTCTCTCCCTCTCTCTCTCTCTCTGTAGAAAACTGTTAGAGACTATTTTATTTATAAAGAAACTTTTCAAACCCTATTCTAGATGATTGACAGAAAACATCCGGTCTTATGTCATATTTGCTTCATCCTTCATCCTCTTCCTCAACATGATAAGATAATACGTTTCTTTTATCTGAAGATCCGTTTCATTAGAAAAGGCTTACTACTGATAGCACTTAAGTGTCGTCATATATATTCTGTTTTTATCACACATCCGTATAATTCAAGACTTTCCGCCGTCCTACGAATACAAAGAAACCAACATGAGCGAAAAGTTACCGAAACGTGACTCAGAATTCTGCTTGGAATTTGTTTTTTTTTCGAATAGAAATTAAGTCAATTCCTATAAATTAATCGCCATTGAAAATTAATGCAAAAGAGGTGTCATTCTTTAAGGCGAAAAATTAAAAAATAAAAAACGGTTCTAAATTTAAAGTGTATCTGTTATCGTCACCGGAACAAAACAGTGTTGCCATGGGCGCTGGAAAATTTTGGGATGATACAAATGGGGATTTTATTGTATGTTTATTTCACGAAACGTCTCAATCTTTTTTGGATTTTCAACATAGAAAGAAATGCAAATTTTCGCCCTGGCGCCCAACAGTTAAATTTTCACCATATACTGTTTGAAATAAAGCCAATGATTAGACATGGTATGGAATGATGGATGTTTACTCCAAGGGCGTTTTCGGGTCTTTCCTTGATTTCCAACAAGAAAAAATAAGGATTTTTGGAAATTTACCAAAAAGTGGCGCCCAGCGGGTAAACGGTTGCTTTAAATTTTGCACGAAATTATGCCAATGACTCAATAATTTTGGAGTTATTGAAGGCTCTAATATAATTATAGATTACGCCTTCTATAATTCCAAAATATTTGAGTCATTGGCATAATTTCGAGAAGAAAAGAAAGAGAATTTGAAACATGGCGCCCAACGTAAAGTGTGCATCTACTGCCTATTTGCATAAAATGAAGCCAATGACTAGAAGTCTTTGGAATTACGGATGTTTACTCCAAGGGCGTTTCCGAGTCTCTTCTTGGATTCTCACATGAACTAAAAGGATTTTGAAATTTACCAAAAAGTGGCGCCCAACGGGTAAACGGTTGCTTTAACTTTTGCACGAAATTATGCCAATGATCCAATCATTTTGAAGTAATTGAAGGCTTTTAATATAATTATAGATTACGCCTTCTATAATTTCAAAATATTTGAGTCATTGGCATAATTTCGATGAGGAGAAGAAAGAGGATTTGAAAAGTGGCGCCCAGCGTTTATATTGTACATCTACTGCTTCTTTTGCATGAAATAAATGAAGCTAATGGCTAGAAGTTTTAGAATTATGGATGTTTACTCCAAGGGCGTTTCCTTCCGAATCTCCTTGAATTCCAACATGAAAAAATTAGGATTTTTTTGAAATTTGACAAGAAGTGGCGCCCAACGGGTAAACGGTTGCTTTAACTTTTGCACGAAATTATGCCAATGACTCAATCATTTTAGAGTTATTGAAGACTTCTAATATAATTATGGATTATGCCTTCTGTAATTCCAAAATACTTGAGTCATTGGCATAATTTCGAAAAGAAGAAGAAAGAGGATTTTAAACTTTCTTAAAAAGTGGCGCCCAACGTTTAAAGTGTCCATCTGCTGCTTATTTTGTATGAAATGAATGATCCAATGGCTAGAAGTCTTTGGAATTATGGATGTTTACACCAAGGGTGTTTCCGAGTCTCTCCTTGATTTTTCAAAAAAAGAAAAGGACTATTTTGAAATTTAACAACAATTGGCGCCCAACGGGTAAACGTTTACTGTATCTTTTGCAAGACAAAAAGCAAAATGCTGAACAGATTCTGGAACTCTGAATATTTTCTGCTACCATTCTCCCGAGTCTACTTGCATCCCGACAGGTTAAAGAAAAAGCATTTTTAAATTTCCCAAAAAGTGGCGCCCAACAAGTTTAGAGACTTGCTCTTAAAAAACGATCTGTAAAATTTTTCCTTTAATTTTTCTCTTGTTTTTTGGGGATTAATATATTTTTCCAATCTACATAGAATTGGCACCAAGCCGTTTAAAATTGCAATTTAAAATTGGCGCCCAACGTGTTTCCATGACATTAAAAAAGAATTTGTGTCGCATATATACTGCCGACACTTGTCCTACTACTTTGGCATAATGATGCAGTTTCTATTTGAATTTGATATTTCTCGTTAGAGACAAATAATTTTCAAACTTAAATTGGCGCCCAATGTGGCAATTTATCACTTTTAGAGACATCTTCAAATAAGTAGTTGTGTTGGTTAAATTCTTCTGTCAGATATTCGTATAGAAGTTTTGGAAAAAAATACATAAATTTATAAAACTGAGAGATTTCTGGTACATCAGATGATATGTTTGGATAAATGGCGCCCAACGTGGCAAAGTTATGTGCCGAAAGGAAATTCGAAGGAATTTTTAATGTTTTGGAAGCATTCCCTGACTAAATATAGACCGAAGAATTCTTCTCTAAATTAAGGTTCATTTTTACAATTGATAACACGTTGGGCGCCACTTTGAAGATTCAATAAAAATGTTTTTTTTTCTCCTTGCAATTTTATATTTTTTTCTTTCTATTACATTGTATTGGGGTTGAATAGGAGTAACATTAATGGAAAGATTTATTTTTTATTTTATTTTTTAAATATAATTATTGCCATACGTTGGGCGCCATTTAAGGTCGCCATAGGTAACTCTATTGCATTATCTTTTTTATTAGTTTTATTAATTTTCTGTTCTCCCTTTTTTACTCCATTTTCAGAGTGTTCTCAATGGCAGATCAGCTTCAGAGATTTCCATGCTAATATCATCGAAAGTTAATGGAGCCACACCCTTGGTCATATCCTGCCGCAATGGACACAGTGAAATTGTAGAATATTTATTGACCTGGTGTCAGGCCGATGTCGAACAAGTTGGCTCGGTTAGTTTCGATGGTGAACCGATTGAAGACGCCCCACCCCTATGGTGTGCCTCAGCTGCCGGACATCTGGGCATTGTTAAACTATTGGTGAGACATGGCGCCAACGTCAACAGTACAACGCGAACAAACTCCACACCGCTGCGAGCGGCCTGCTTCGATGGCCATTTCGAAATTGTCAAATATCTGATACAACATGGTGCCGATTTCGAGGTGGCAAATCGCCATGGTCACACGTGTCTGATGATTGCCTGCTACAAGGGTCACTTCAAGATTGCCCAGTATTTGTTGTCGCTCAATGCCAATGTGAATCGTTGCAGTGTCAAGGGCAATACAGCGCTGCATGACTGCGCCGAATCGGGTTCGCTGGAAATTCTGCAGTTGCTGTTGAAACATGGCGCCACAATGGAGGTGGACTATTATGGTATGACACCGCTGCTGGCAGCCAGTGTAACGGGTCACGTGCCCATTGTTGAACATTTGATTACCTTGCCCTGTGTTACACGTGAGAGTCGTATCGATGCCCTGGAGCTGTTGGGCGCCACCTATGTAGATAAGAAACGTGATATGGTCAGTGCTCTGTCGCTGTGGCGGCGAGCCATGGAGGAGCGCAATCTGGAGCCGAAAATACCCAAAAAGATCCAGGAACCCATAGCGGCCTATGAATATGTGTCGGAAGTCACCACCATCGAGGAGTTGGAAGAATTAGTCTTAGATCCGGACGAGATGCGTATGCAAGCATTAGTGATAAGGCAAAGGATATTGGGTCCCACACATCCCGATACTAGTTATTATATTAGATTTAGGTAAGTGTCGCGGATTTTAACGAGAAGATCATGAGAAGATTATTAATTTGTGTTTTCTTTTTCCCCTCACAGAGGTGCTCATTATGCCGACGCAGGTCGTTTCGATCGGTGCATTGACCTTTGGACATATGCTCTAACCATGCAACAAAAAATCCTACCACCTCTCAGCCCCATGACCCAGTCTTCTCTGCTCTCGTTTGCCGAACTCTTCAGTTTTATGATGATGGAAGCGGGCCGTCTGCTGCCACGCGGCCGTGTCGTGCCGTCCATTGAGGCCTGTGATATGCTAATGATCTTCTGCAAAGCTGTGGTTGAGGTTGAGCGAGGTTTGTCCCATTATCAAAAGCAAATGCTGCAATCCGCTGCTACCGTCTCCTCCTCCTCACTTGCAGGACAAAGTTGGTCAATGGAACAGCAACAGAAAATCGGCACAACAGCCACCAGCACAGCGAGTGGCGAAGAACAACAACAGCAGCAGTCCGCCAATGCCGCCGCCGCCGCTGTGGCATCTCTGCACGACTGTAACAATGATCCCAATGCCCTGAGTCGAGCCTTGGTTAGTGCTTTACACATTGGCTGCCTTTTGGCCTGGCTAATAGACGACGAGGCGTGTTGTCCCAACATGCGAAAAGACATTCTGAAGGCCCTCTACAAATTGAATCGTCTCAATGTGGCGGTGAGATCTGGTCGTACAGCTTTACACTATGCCTGCTATCGTGAAGGTACTCTGGTGGGTCGTTATCCTGCTTGTCAATTCCCCTCGCCGTATTTGGCTAAAGCTTTATTGGAAGTCGGTGCTGATCCCAATGCAACGGATGATGCTGGTAATACGCCGCTGCATCTGGCCGCCATGGTATATCCCAAGTGGCCGCATATAGCTAAGATCCTGTTGGATAATGGAGCGCATATAGTGAGTATTGGGTAGCAAAGAGAGAAAGAGAGAGGGAGGGGAAATTATTTCTCATTTTTTATCAAAAATATCTCAAGAGATATTTTTTAAAAAAATATCGTAAGAGATATTTTTGTTTGAAGATGTCTCAAGAGATCTATCAAGAGAAAATATCTCATGAGATATTTTTCTATAGAAATTATCTCAAGAGATATTTTTCATAGAAAATATCTCAAGAGATATTTTTCATAGAAAATATCTCAAGAGATTTTTTTCATAGAAAATATCTCAAGAGATATTTTTCATAGAAAATATCTCAAGCGATATTTTTATATAAGAAATTAAAAATACAGGGTGAGATGAAAAAACTGCAACAAAGTCTAACGCCATAATTTTTACGTTTTAAATTTTATTGAATGAAACCAAAAAATGTCGGAAATAGCATCGAATTTTAGAATAAGTTAAGATTTGCTCGAATTGGTCACGTTTGGCACGATTTATGGCCTTCAAACGGCCATTGAAACCGTCACAAGCTGCCAGAATGTTGCTCTGTGGTATTTTGGCACATTCCCGGCGAAGTGCTTGTTTGAGGTGATCGCCACCTTGGTATTTTTTAGTGCCCCACCTTGCTTTCAAAAATTCTCCAGACACAATAGTCCAACGGATTGCTATCCGGAGATTTAGGTGGACATTGTGCGCTGGAAATAAAGGGAGGAACTTCAATTTGTAACCTGAGCCCTGTTGGAATGTCCAAGGTCTGCGGCCAAAATATTTGCGTGCCGAACGCTTTAATACACCCTCCAGAATATTTTCGCGACAATATTCGACATTTATTCTGATGCCACGGTCGCTTAATACGAGTGGAGTGCGGCTGTTATGGTGGTCCACACCATCACCATGGCCGGTGCTTGAGTTTTGTTGGCCAGAAGGCCGAAGGTGCACATTTTCAGCTGACCTCTTTGGCAAGTAAACACGATCATTTTGTTTGTTTACAAACTGCTGGACAACGAATGTTTTCTCATCGGAGAAAAACAAATTCGACAGTTCACCACTTTCGTCAAAGCGAAGCTACGCCTTAGCTCTTTTGAGTCTCATTTTTTTCTGTTGCGGCGTAAGTTATTGCACCTTTTGGAATTTCAATGGCTTTACCCCGAGCTCATTTTCCAATATTTGCCGAATGGAATATTACGATATGTTCAGCTCACGAGCCATTTTTCCGCCACTGCGACGCGGTTTTTGATCGAATCGTTTTTTTTTGCTTTTCGAATCATTTCTGCTGATGTTGCCGTTTTTCTTCCGTCCACTTCCATGACTTCGGGCTACGCTACCAGTATCACGTTAACGAGCGATGGTACGAGTCACAAAAGATTTATTCACATTTACAACAACATTTAAATGCTGGAGTGCTCTAACGATAGCCACTTTTCCAGCCAAATATAAAGAAATCACACTATCCTGCTTGAATTCCATCACGAATAACCCCTAATAACTTAAGGTTTGGCTTAAGGTCAATTGAAAACATCAGCGTTTTGTTTTTATAATTTTGATTTTTATTTTCCGATATTTCGACGGTCTTTGACAGTCATCTTCAGGGAATTTTTTTTTTTGAGAAAAAAAAAAAGAATAACTTTTTTTCTGGAACATTCTCACCAAAATGCTTTTGTACGCTTATAAAGAATATAATGAGCTATCACTGGAATAATTTTATTAGCTGTCGGACGAGTGGTTTAGAAATGACAGCAGCCTGAAGTTGGTTGCAATTTCATTTCATCTCACCCTGTAGTTTTATTCAGTTTTGTTTTTTTTTTTTTATGAAAAAAATTCCATCCTATTCTAATACATTTCTATTTCTCCCCCTTTACAGGACGCTCGAAATAAGGCTGGCGAAACATTCGAGTCTCTCATCAAACCGAAGAAAATTCACGAAACCGTCAACACCCTCAAGTATACGACATTGGCGTGCTTGGCGGCGAAAACAATACGAAAACACAATATCAGCTATGAGGCGGGAGCGGTGCCTGAAACGTTGCACAAGTTCATCGATATGCATTAAGTGTTAAGATTATATCATAGAATGAAACAGAACAGAACAGAACATGGACTATTGTTGTCTTCTCTTAGTAATCTAGAAACAAAAAACGAAGCTCTGTAGGACTCACACAAGTATCAAGTCGCCAACCCCTATTCAGAAACCCATAACTGAATACTATGTAGAGTAACGATCTTAAACAATTCGTTTAACAATCATAATTATTAGAGAATCACGAAGTTACAATCAACGAATAATCGTAAAAACTAACAATGAACAATGAATGTTTGCAAAAAATAAAGTCTCATTTTGAAAAGGTCTCCCTTGCCCTCTCCTATCTCTGGTACTGATTTTTCAGCCTAACAAGTCTTCCGGAACTCCTGACATTTTTCAAGGATTTTGGGAAGACTGGAATTATGAATGAATAATGACCTACTAGAGATTGAGAAAGCAAGAGATATTATCAGAAAATGTAAATAAAAGAAGAAGAAACAATCAAATTTTGCAAACCATTAAAACTCGAAATTGTCCTGTAACGCGTTAATTTATATCCAAACATGAAAAAAATATGAAAACAAATAATCGTATTTAACTGTAGATATTTCTTTGAACTGTTTTATCATAGGCTTTATTCTTATTTCTATCTCTCGCTCTGTCTATACATACCTACCTAGTTTCATATTCAAAAAACAAATGCAAGAAAAGAAAACATAGAAAACAAACGTATTAACGTCAAAAATAATGCGAAACATATTTAATTCATAGTTAATTTTTAGCAAACGCTTTGTGTTTCAATAGCTTGTAAGTTAGTTAGTGTTTGTTCACTCATTATCTCTTAGAGAAAAAAAAAAACAATTCAATTCTCCTCCCATTAATTTTTAATTTCATTTTCTATTCTAATTTTTATGTTAAACTTAAATGTTCCTTCAAAAACCATACTCTGTTTGTAAAAATCCCAAGAATACAAGAAAAACAAAAACAAGACGGTGGATAGAATACCGAGTACTTCGTGATTCACCTTCTCCCCCCCCCCCCCCCCCCCCTAAAAAAACACCTGTATTCTTTATAATTCTTTTTTTCTCCTCCCCCCCCCATCTTCCTCCTCTCTACAATTCAAAATAACAAAACAAGAACAAACAGAACAACCACAAACCGCATAGAAACGAAATAAAGTAAAGTAAAGAAAAAACAAAAACGTAAACTACAATAAATGTATTAATTTATATATCTTATGTAGTAATGTTTTAGTCTGTGTATAAGAAGTATTTGTGTAACAAACAACAAAAATATGATAGCAATCAAACAGCAACAAAAAGTCGAATTTGGCTCCTCCAAAAAAACACTGAACCAATTTGGAGGAGAGCAGGCTTTTTCTCACCCCCTCCCCCCATAAACAAATATATATCTCTCTCTATACTATAATAGCTATATCTCACTAATTACCCTTCGTTAAGATATCTAAAAGATAAGAATCATATAGTTTCAACAAACGATATAGTTTTTCTAAGGCAATAAACTATTAAATAAGTAATATGATTAAAAAAATATACAATATATTGAAAACAGAAAAAATATAAAAAAAATATTAATGTTTTATTTCAATGGGAGAGTGATTTTAAGGATAACATTAATTAATATTTTTTATATATTTTTATTTTTATTTTGTTCCTTGAGACCTCTTTAGACTCCTGTACGGTAAAAAGGTATTTTGGATTGTTGAAGAATCCATGTTCTTTATTAAACATTTTTGGTTTCCTATAGACAGGCCTTTATATAGAAGACCTTCAATAGAAGTCCTTTGGGTCGACGTGGACACATTTTTTAAAATATTTAATACGACCTCCATTTGGGCTTCTGTGTCTAAAAGAAAAAAACGTATTGGTTTTTTTTATTAAATATAAAGTCATGGTAAAATTAAGAAGGTTTATATAAGTATACTCGTCTCTGCATTTTCTGTAACTTACCTTGCCAAATTTTACTTCATAGAAAATAGGTTCCCATCTCTGATTTGTGTGTAAACAATGGATTTGAAAATATGATGAGATTGACAATGAGATGTCAAATAAATTATTGTGAAAAAAAAAAATGAAAAAATATGATTGCATGACTTTACCTTCTTAATTCTACCATGCATATAGTTATCCGTAGGAAATTACTTTCGACTGCTATAATCAAATTCATGGAAGATCCCATACAACTTCTAAAACATTATTTATCTCTTATAGGAATGCCGGGAGATCTTCATTAAAAGAGGGTCTTGATTTTCTATAACTAGGCCTTTGTGGTCTTATTTAAGAACCCTGTTAGTATTATATTAGGTCTTCTATGGTCTTTTTGAATAGCATTTGTTGGGCCTTTCTAAGAAAGACTTCCCTGTATATAGAAAACATATTTATATACATATTTATATACATAGGGGCACACTCGCTTTCTATCCTACGAGATTTTTGGACTATGTTAAATAATTACTTGTCATATTTGGTTTTTTTCTTCTTTCAAAACATTTTAGACCTTTTCTATCGTATGTAAGAAAATTTTTTTGGATTTCTATAAATAGGATGAACTTTCTATAATAAATAGGATGAACTTTCTATAAGCTATACCTTCGGACCTTCTTTATGAAGATAATTTGGTCTTTAATGTGATATTAAACATAAATTCTTTAAGAAAATCATCTGACCTCATTTATGATGATCACCAAGTCTTTGTGAGAAAATCAACCGGGGTTTTATAGGAAAATCTACTGAACTTAAATCAAAAGATCTATAGGGATACTATGCTAAGGTCTTGTGGTCTTCTGTGAGAATAACTTCTTTCTACGATGTGGTCTAATGACTTTCAATGAGAAGGCCAAGAGACCTTTAATCATATGACTAACTTTGGACTTTTTTTTGACAATACCTACCGGTTTCTATGAGAAGACCTACTGAACTTCTATGAGAGGACATTTGGGTTTCTATAAGAAGACGCATAAGTTTTTATGGCAAGTTCTACTGGCCTTCTATACAAAACATGTAAACAAACGAGCAATATAAGCCTAAATGGACCAATTTGAGCCTAGAAACAAGTATGTCAAATCGAAATCTGTTCAGATGCAGCTATAGCTCCCAAATATATTGTTCATCCGTTTTATTATATTTGTTCTCCATAGCAGTAATATGCACTCCGCAACAACGATATTCGGGGAAATATATAAAATACTTCTCAGAAACACCTTTTGGTATGTATGTACCTTGGATGTAGCTCCCATATATATCTTTACCCGATTTTTTAAAGAGGCTTTTCCAAAAAAAATTCTTCTCGCCTTCCATGAGCGTAGGAGTTTTTTTTTTTTATTAAAAGAACTATTTGGCTTAAACAATTATATTTAATGACTGTTATAACTTATGTTTTCATTTACGGCATCCTGAATATTTTTTCTAAAAATTTTTATTGTTTTTATCTCCGCTATTAAAATTCCAACGTACTGTGGAGAGCTTATGTAAATATGGCAACATCAAAGCATGTATATTTCTGCTATAAATACAACACTGTTAATAACAACTTTCAAACTGTACTAGTTAGTATATATAGTTTGAAAATCACAATATCAAATGATAAAGCTGTCAAACTGGAAACGAAATAATTTCAATTAAAACGGAATTTTTATTTGAATTGCTAAAAAGTCAAGCCAAAAATAGAAAACTAAAAGGAAAACTTGAAATAAAATGGAAAATGTGTGGGGCCACGAGGAAATAAAAAGCAGAAGAAGAAAGCAAAATTTGCCAAAATTGGGATGAGAGTTGATTTTTTTACAATTCGGTTTTTTCTCCTAATGGAGATGTGAAACTTTTGGTTATTAAGATGCATAAACAGTCTCAATATTGCTGAAGGTGAGTGCAATTGTAAACATACGCAATATGTTAATTATTGGTCTTTAAAAATTTAAAAAAATGGCGCCCAAATGTAATTTGTAAACGCATTTGCATGTTTACAAGCAGTTGTAAGGTTTAAAAATGAATTTTTGAATTAATTCACATAATAGGTTTTTTTATAGGGGATTGGTTGAAAGAGCTTCTGGGGGAATAACCACAAATGATAATGTTTTAAAATATTTCTGTCTTTCTGTATTATGTTAATGCTATTTTGAAATAAAAACAAAGAGGTCGATTTAGCTTCCAAAACAATAATTTTGGTAAAGGTAGGGTGTTCTACGACATTTTTTTTTTTGATTTATTACAAACTTTTGTGCCCAAGCCAAGTTTTAGCCTCCTTCTCACGTGGTGAATATGGGTATAAAAATTTGTATAGAACAATTCTATTTAGCAATAATTCCAATATAAAAAAGTTGGAGATATCATGAGGTCATGAGGATTCTTAGATATCATGAGGTCCGTGATAGCTTTTATATACAGAAACCACTTATTAGTAATATGTTTTCATATTGCCGACCTTTCTTAAGCACATTATGATTAATTTCAAGTTTCTTAAGAGAACACTTACCTTTCACAATTATTATTTTGTTTGACATCATATGCGTTTCTCTTTTTATTTTTTCATTCATATACTGTGCTCTTTTTTCTTCTCTAAAGAAATTGTTAATCATCTAAAAGATAACTCTTAATATGTGTTGTGGATTGGATACAGAGAGTGAGAAGTTTTGCTATCGCAAAAGCTCTTGTTCCGTTGAAGAGAACAGGAAATGTTTAAGCAACTTATCTATTATTCCAATGAATGGAAACAAAGAGAAAATTATCTGAAAGAGTTGCAGTTTTACATCATTGTTGCTCTTAGTCTCTCTTTGAACATTTTCTTGGATATAGAACACTTGTTAAGTTAACAAATAATTTAAAGGAGAACAGGGTAGCCAATTTATATTTCAAAAATATCTCCACGAGTAACTTAATGAATTGTTGTAATCTTCTTAAAAAAATCTTTAAAACTGAGAGAATAAAATACAAATATAGGAACTGAAATGGGCAGGGTTCAATCAAATTCAGAGTCCTTCCGCCTTGACTGATTGATTGATTTATTGACTGATCGTCTGATTCATCTACGCCCAGAAGAAGCGGTTGAACCTGAAATCTTAAAATTTTGCGTTAGAGTCGATCTTAGAGTAGATTTGTGAGATAAGGATAGATTTTCTTCGAAATAAGACATATAAGGGCACAAGAAGTATAAAACGATAATAATTATGGTTAATATTGAGCGATTGGAATATGCTAGAAGTTGGAATTTTTGTTTTTCATAGACAGACTTACGACTAAACCAGTAAAAAATCCGACGGGCCTGACTATATGATATCCTACACCACTGTATATTAATCAGAGCTATCCGTCGAAAATAATGTTTGTGTTGGGAATTTATGTGAAGTAGATTATTTCAACTATGTACCTTTCTTGAATGTATATTATGGGTTTAACATGGAATCGGCAGGATCCAATAAATACCCCTCAAATTAGCGGGGTTAGATAAAAAAGTTGCAACAAATTCAAACGCCACAATTTTTATTTTTTTTTAATTTCTTGAATGAAAGCAAAAAATGTCGGAAATAGCATCAAATTTTAGAATAAGTTAAGATTTATTCGAATTGGTCAGCTTTGGCGCGACTTATGGCCTTCAAACGGCCAATGAAACCGTCACACGCTTCCCAAATGTTGTTCTGCGGTTTTTGGCCCATTCCCGGCGAAGAGCTTGCTTGAGGTGATCGACACTTTGATATTATTTAGTGCCAACCTTGCTTTCCAAAATACTTCCGACACAAAAGTCCAACGTTTTGGTATCCGGAGATTTTGGTGGCCATTTTGCGCTGGAAATGAAACGTGGAACCTCATTTTGTAACCATTCTTGGGTGGCGCGTGCTGAGTGTGATGGTGCTGAGTCCTGTTGCAATGTCCAAGGTCTGCGGCCAAAATGTTTGCGTGCCCAAGCCCATAATACATCCTCCAGAATATTTTCGCGATAATATTCGGTATTTATTCTGATGCCACGGTCGATTAATACGAGCGGAGAGGAACCATCGGCTGTTATGATGGCCCACACCATCACCTTGGCCGGCGCTTAGGTTCTGGTGGCCAACCGAAGGTGCACATTTTCAGGTGACCTCTTTGGCAAGTAAACACGATCATTTTGTTTGTTTACAAACTGCTGGACAAGGAATGTTTTTCCATCGGCAAATCGGCCAAATTCGGCAAGTCACCACTTTCGCCCAAGCGAAGCAACTCTTTAGCTCTTTTGAGTCTATTTTCTTTCTGTTGCGGTGTAAGTTCTTGCACTTTTTGGAATTTCAATGACTTTACCCCAAGCTCAGTTTTTAATATTTGCCGAACGGAATATTGCGATATGTTCGGCTCACGAGTCATTTTTCGGGCACTGCGATGCGGGTTTCCATCAAGTCGTTTTTTACTGTTTTTTTTCCGTCCACTTCCTTGACGTTGGGCTACACTACCAGTATTAGGGTAACGAGCAATGTTACGTGACACAAAAGATTAATTCACATTTAAATGCTGAAGTGCTCTAACGATAGCCACTTTTGGTTTTCCAGCCAAATATAATAAAATATACTATCACGCTTGAATTCTATCACGAATAACTTTTTTTCTGAAAAATTCTCACCAAAATGCTTTTGGTACGCTTGTAAATAATATAATGAGCTGTATTGTATAATAATTTTAGCAGCTGTCGCACGAGTGGCTTAGAAATGACAGCAGTCTAAAGTTGGTTGTAGTTTCATTTCATCTCACCCTGTATGTATGTTTTTGTGATCTTCGTTGCGTCCTATTCATTTTTGATCGAAATGCAAATCCGAAAAATTTTGGTCGGGAATTGAAGTATCAAATTCTTGATACGAAACGTATTCGTTTATTTTTAGTCCCTAAAGTTTTAAGAGACAAGTAATTTTGGTTCACTCCTCAAAGAGTAAATTAAAGCTTCTGCTGGTACTCTTCTTTGCCTTATTTTTCTTCAGGTTTGGAATAAAAATTTCCCTAGATAAATACAATTATCTGTTATTCCAATGATAAATAAGGTATGAAAAGATAACGAGAGAACTTCCCATTGAAATAAAGCTCTTGTTCTCTCTCTCCATGTTTATCTCCCCAAAAACCCTGGCCATAACGGAAAAGAGAGAGAGAGAGAGAGTGAGAGCATTAAAAAGTCTTGTTTGAATTATAACAACAACCTGTTTTACCCAATTTTGCCTTCAAAATGTCACCATGAGAAAGAGAGCTTTTGCTCTCCCACTTTCTCTCTCTCTCACACACATTGTTATACTCTCTGTGTGTAATACATTATGTTTCCTTTCCTAAGCCTCCTTTCCGGGGTCACTTTGTGAATTTTTTGGTTAATGCCAAACGTTCAAAACGCCGTGGCGATAAGCTTTCGTGAGCGTAGAGTATGCCATGAATACACGTTGAACTCGTTTGCGTGGTTGCCTGAATGCCTGCCTGCCTGCTCTGTCAAGGTACTCACTCATTATTTTGCCATACAACAAGAACACAAAATACGAGAAAAACACACACACACACACACACACTTTTCCAATTTCGTAGATGAAACTCCGCCGTACAATATTTTCATCCCTTCTGGCAGTGTTTCTAGTTCAATTGCAAAGTGAAGACGTGTGGCGAGTGAACGGATTTCGGGATTATTATTGGTGTCTTTTTTTTTGTCCACATTGTGTGCGCGGTGTGTCCGTGTGTAAGCCATTTGCCAAAGCAAGAAATGTAAAAAAAAAGAAAAATTAATTATTGATAAGCAAAGGCAAAGGCAAAGGCACAGGCTCTGGCAAGTGAAAACGACGTTGACGAAGAAGAAGAAGAAAAAGAAGGAAAAAAAAGCACAAGAGAAAAATGGCAACAACAACAATGTTTTGTAAAGGAATTTAAATGGGTTATGAAGCCAGAAAATGAAAAAGAAAAATTAACGAAAGAATGAAAGTGGAAATCTGTGAGTTGCGAGAAAAAATAAAGCATACTTTGAGGCTGCTCAAAAGGAAATAATTGTTATTAAACCGAAATAGTTACAAAATATAAAGCATACTTTGAGGCAGTTCGGAGAAATTTGTGTTAACAACAAATAAGGCATACTTTCAGGCAGCTTTGAATATTATGAAAACTAAAGCATACTCTTAGGCTGCCGAAAAAAAAAACCGGAATGAGTGTTATGCGAAAATGAAATAAAAGAGTGTCACAAAATCGTGTTAAACCAAATGCATGGCAATAACTTGCAAAACGTGGCATTCAGAAACCTAACAAATTCGGAATAAAAATAGAAAACAGAGAAATATTAAAGCGGCCTCAAATCCTTTTTTTATTGAAAAATACACTGCCTGTCATCTGAGCTCACGCACACACACTCATCATTATCAAGGGATATTTCAAGAGAGTGAGAGCTCTTCAATTCCTCGCTTTAGCGGCCACCAGGTGAATGTGTGAGTGTTTCGGTTTCGTTTTTGTTTTTGGAATTTAAATAAATTTCATGAATAATAAATAACAACAACAACGAGAAGAAAAAATGCACCAAACCCCCAGCCTCCCACATCATCACAGTGTGTGAGTGTGGGCTTTTTTTTGTTGATTTTTTCCTCCGGCCCCTGCGAATGAGGTCTGCCCCCTGAGAAGAGGAGTAATGAAAAATTTGAAATAAAAAATAAAAAAAATTAAGATGCAAAAACCGTATCAAGGTAACATGCAAATGTGAACAGAAAAATTGTTGTTAAAAGAAAACCGAGAAAAAAAAAACGAAAAACCTCAGAGGAAAATCGAAAAGGGGGGGGAGAATAACCAGAAAAAAATATTCAAACCAAACCCCAGGCCAGTCAAAGTGCAGTGTACCGCGAACAAGTGAAACCCTATGAAATGAAATGAGTTCAAATGGCTAGTCGGGGCTTAAATCTGAAATACAAAAAAAAAATAACAACAACACCAACATAGTTGCCATTTAGTTGGCAGTTCTCGGGCCAAAAAAAAAAAGAAGAAACCCCAACGAAATCATTGTGATTTACTGAAGCGTGTTGTAAAGAAAATTTTCCGCACAATGACAACAACAACAAAATAAAAAAAAATGAAAAAAGAAAACTCAAACGTTCCCAATAAAACACTCTAAAGAGTTTAAACCGTAAGACGTGACGCCAACGCCAATGGCATAAATTTCTAATAGAAAAAAAAATCGGAAAACGTAAAAAACGAGTTAAATACCCCCTCGTCTACAATAACAACAAATCACGTGAAAAATAACAACAACAAGACTAACACCTCCGGTATATGTGGGTGAAATGGTACCACCTGAAATCGATAATCAATAAATCGCGGGTTTTATGAAGAAAACAAACGCACACGTGTGGACGACACTCTTCGCAGGTTCTCACCAGTCTCCCAGACTGGCAGAATTTTTCCACCTCTCCGTGTCATCATTTCGTATTCATGTTGGCTACGTGCAAACCTGCCCGACCGCCATAAATAAGTGCGTGTGTTCCGCACATGTAAATATACACACACACATATATATAAATAAAATATTCTCCATTCAAGGATTACAACGAAGCGAGAAAAATAAAAAAAAACACCTCATAACGAAAGACAGGCTCCATTGTTACCAACCTGAGCTGAGCGCCTGACTGGCTGCTGAGATATTTTTTTTTTCGAGGATACTATACAACCACACATTATTATCATGAGGACAATGCCAACAGTAACATTTTAAGCATCTAATACCAACCATAATAACAACAATAAAAATAACAATACAAGGTAAAATAACCTCCCTTATTAAATCTATGACATGATTATGCATGTAACCCGGTTTTTATGCTCCTTTTCGTATGGTGGACTCACAAAATTATTGGGATGCATAAATTAATATTGTGACGGGGTAAGGGGATTTTGTAATTAGGAAAATATATATTAATAGGTGGAGAAAAAAGGGATATAGCCACTAATTGGGAAGGTAATCGGTAATTGAGTTGTAAGGGAAAATAACAAAGGAAAGGGCATTTTCGGAACAGAAAATTAACAATTATAGGCAGCCAAGCAAGAAGTATTTATGTGTTTATCAGGAATTGTGGAAATAGAATTAAAGGATCCCGTAATAAAATCGAGGAGTAAATTTTAAAAATATGGTACAATTTTCCGAATTTCAATTCTGAAACGTTGCAGTGCAACCTCAGCCGTTTTGATTGTTGCTGGACATGTGAAATTGGAGAAAATCGGTCAAAATCGTCCGAATTTCCTTTTATTGCGCACCAAATGTGTAATAATTGTTCAAACATCGTGAAATTTGGATCATACGATCAATTTGAGCATAGAAATAAGTGAATCAAATTTGGTGGAAATCGGCTGATATGCACCGATAGCTTTCAAATATATTTGGTCATCCGATAGCTTTTTTGTCCTCCTCAGCCGGAATATGCATTCCGTAACAACGATATTCGGGAAAATATAGTATAGCTCAGAAACACCATTATCAAATTTAATCGAGATCGCTTCACATTTGGGTAAAGCTCCCATATACATATTAACTGAATTTCAAGTTTATTGCGGAACAAATAGTAAATTTAGGTCCAAATTTAATGAATTTTGGCCCATAGGAACGAATTTGGCCTGAACGAAAGTGTATCAAATTTATTGAAAATCGGTCCCAAATATATGTTTCATCAGATTTTATTTTTTAATCCCTCCCACCCGTATAACCCTCTCCATAATAACGAAATTTGGTCCCAGCTATCAGATACATCATATCAAATATCTCCGCTAAAATTTTATGGAGATCGGTTCAGATTTGGATATAGCTCCCACATATATCTTCTTACGATTTCACGTTTAAAAAGTGCAATATCAGCTCAAATGAGGTTGACTTTAATGAATATCGGCTCACTTCGTCAAATTTAGGGGAAATCGATTAAAAGGAGGATATACTTCCATATATTAAATCCTTTCGGCTTTAAATTATATCTTCTTTAAAACAATAATACATATTCAAAAACGACCATAAATTCGACATAAAAACGTTATTTGTTATGGTCCGTCCGACTTTGGTCCTTTCTTTACTGGTTTTTTTATTTTTAATTTTGAAACTTTATATTGTAGTTCCACATTTGCATACCCTCAGCCACATGGCTACGTATGGTTTATATCATTTGTTATGGCCAAAATATGCATCATAGAAGTAGTGGTTATAGACCTTAGGACGAAATCCGTTTGAGGATGTTTGGACTCTGTCTGTTTGCTCGATAACTCTCGAAGGTAGTATTCAAATTTTGTACATCGTAATATTTTTATCAAACTTAGATTATATATGTATAACGTATAAAACAAATCGATTGCCGATTAAATCCAAATTCGGTCCATGGTGATGATAGGCAATTGTTTCCAATAGTTTGTTTCAAAGGTCAGAATTTTAAACATAAATAACCCCCGCAAAATGTGAACATTTTCTAATTTTTTCCGATTTTTTTAAGCTATGTTCGAAAATGCAATATCAAATCATTATGCCAGATTCACTAAAAATACGCAGTATTTTTGGCAAATAGTTTTCTATAATTTGCGAACTCGAAATGCTAAATTATAGCCCATTTAGTTGGAAAATGTGAATAGGATCTAAAGCCATAAACATTTGAGGAGCATGACGAAATGGGAAAATCTAAAAAAAAAATCCCAAGACGTTTTCAATACACCAAGATTTAAAAACAGGAAATTTCAGCCACATCAAAGAAGTCAACAGACTGGTGAATAATATTGCTAAAATCTTAAAAATACAGAATTTAGGGAGGTACAGTTATATCGGGGCTATACGAAGACCTGGACCTGCATAGACAGTTTTCTGTCAAAACGAACTTCAAATTCCAAATTTGAAACATTTCCGAAATACTAAAATATTGAGGTACGATTATATGGGGGCTATACCAAAACGTGGACTTAAATGGCCCATTTTTAATACCAAAAGTCCTGCAGACATAATATACATTTGAGTAAAATTTTATTAACCTACCTCATTCGTTCGGAAGCTAGAGTGATTTCAACAGACGGACGGACATCGCTAAATCGACATAGAATTGTATGTTTATCCAGAATATATATACTTTGTGAGGTCTAGAATATATATTTCAAGGTGTTACAAACGGAATGACAAAGCTAATATGCCTTCCATACTATGGTGGAGGGTATAAAAATGAAAAAGTAAAAATTCCTCTATAGAAATTTCAAATTTCAATTTGATGTTCATTTTTGAGAATTCCTAAATTTTGGCGATTCGAACGTAACTTTGCATTTATCATGCACTTTATAGCAATTTTATTTGGTATGAAAGATTAAAATATGTCCGGCAAATTTAGTGAAAATCAATTCAGAATTGGATATTAGGCATTTCCAGTTTCTTAGGTCCTTTCTACTGCATCTGCTCTTATTAGATTTTACGGATTCTTATTGTCAAGATCTGCTATAGGACTTATAACTTCTGAATTTAGATATGCTGAAGGTTTCCGCCACAAGACTAAGATTATTTATTTATTTATTTATTGAAGGTTAGTGCCTCAATATACAACAGAATCACCAGATTTTGCTATAACCCCCATATAAGTGCCATTTTCCACCTTATTTCCGAATTTTAGTGGTATGTGCTCAAATAGTGATAACGGCTGATTTAAGATGTTTTAAGATTCCGGTCGCAGAAGTGGTAATAAATTGATCTAAAAATTATTTGATGCGGTCCAAACGCAACGGTAATCGAGCAATTGGAAGTCCTAACCATATTTTTCATCTGTTTCACAACTGTTAGCATAGGTGAAGGCCCAATTCCTTCATGGTGGAGGACACAAAAAGTCATATTTACTTCTTTTAATTTAATTATATTCAAGCCTAACGACATTTTCCACAATATTGGAAAAAAAAATTACATTTCCGATTAGTCAATGCTATTTTTAAAAAGATAACCAGGACGTTAAATTGTTTTTAATTGTGCCACTTGTTTGTAGAATTTTAAAATTTAATTTGCTGTAATTCGGAATCTCCAGGGATAGAAATTCGAACGGAATGGAAAAAAAATTAAAAATACTTTAAAGTTTTGATGGATATTCATCATCCTGGTTAGAATACTCCATTTAAGTTCAAATACGAAGGGTATAAAAAGTTCGAGTTCGTACATAATTTTAACTTGAGTATTACCCAAAAAGTTCTAACCTACAATTCCATTTCTGTGCAACATCCGTCCGAACATATTTCGAAAAATGTTGAATTCCAAATTATTTTTTCAATCCTAAAATTTAATATTTATAACCATTTTCTTATAAAGCCCAGGCCCTGGTAAAAATTCTTAAAAAAAAAATACGCTGATGGTTCTGAAAGTATTTAAAAAAAAAAACTGATGATGGTCTATGGAAAAGTTCTTCAAAAACACGCTGATGGTCCTGAAAGTCCTTTAAAAATTCTTTAAAAATCCCCTTTGATGGTGAAGATCTATAGAAAAATTCTTAAAGAAGTTCTTCTAAAAGTTCTTCAAAAAATTCTTTAAATGTTCCAGTCTAATGGTGAAGGTCTATAAAAAATCCTAAAAAAATCCGCGCTTATAGGTTTTTAAAAAATTTAAACAATTTTTATTTCCGAAAACTTTTTTCTCAATCACAATTTTTGGAATTTATTGTCATTTTAGTATGAATTTCTGAAAATCCTGTATTTTTGTATAACACCACACCAGCTGAAAGCCATAACCAATAACTCACATTATCCCAAAATGATCAATTGCCAAACAAAAATCTCATTAGCCAATCGTTTATTATCAACCAACAAATAACTACCCATAAATTGATAAATAATCTCCCGTAAACATGCCGATAATATGCATCAATTAATCGTTGATTAAGTAACCGTTATTCTGGTTAATAACAAAATGCCCAATCCTCGATACGAGCAACAACAAATAGCTGCTTAAATGATTCATAAGCGTTATTAAGTGAAATCGCAGTATATAAAAGTCAATGGGCAGCTCATAAAAATCACTTAAATTCATAAATATCTGCTTTTACAAGGACCTAATAAACATGTTCACGCATAATGTTTATATTGTTGTTATTTGTTTTCATAAAGACAGCGGCAACAACAACGAGCAGATTGTAAAAATTTTAACATTTTAATGATAATAATATGGGTTTTAATAAGGTTGTTCAACATTTAACGGCGAAACGGGAGAGAGAGAGACAGAGAAAGAGAGAGAACAGATCATTAATTATGACACAATTTTGTTTGCTGTTATTGTGCTACGGTTGTTGTTGTTGTTGGTATTGTTGCTGTTATAACTGGAATTGGATAGATAATTAAAACATGTTTTGTCCTTTAGACCTTCCCTCCGTTGAAAAACAACGACTATTTGTCACATGTTTTAATGGCAACTCCCCATAAGGATTTTTGGGTGTCTCTCCTCTCTCTCTCCCTCTGTTGCTTATTATTAATATTTACAAGGCCAGAAAGCAGAGGCCAAAATGGTCTTTTGTGTGTGTGTTTGTCTCTCTCTCGGTGGAGCAAAAATGTGACTGCAATAAAATGTCACAAAATCGAAATGTACACACGGCAATAATAACAACAGCAAAATATGTTCTTATTAATGAAATAAAATAACAAAAATAAACATGCTACAAAATTGTGCGTTTTAAACAAAAAAATCCTAGAAAATTATTTCTTAATAAAAGGGATAATGGATGGATGGATGTTTTTTAACATAAATATTTGGCTGGGTTTATGTGAAAATTCATGGAAAATTCATT